AAGTGTATAATAGTAACATTAATATAATTATGTACATGGAGAATTCTCGACTTCGTATTAAGAAGATAACTCTTCAACCTAATACAAAGTAGTTGCTCAATCCAAATAAAAGCAATGAAGTAGCGACCAAAAAGCATCAAGAGAAATGATTTACATCATAATGCTTAGAAGATTGAGGCTAAAAAATAAACGATAAAGCTACAACTAATAATCGTATTCTCAATTTATAAGAGAGATAATTCTCAACTTGATATCAAGAGAGTTTACTTAATAGCAACTATAAACAATAAAATTGTGGCCAAAGAACAATTTTTAATTTGGAGATAATTCTTAACTTGGACTAAAGGGGTTCATTTGATAGCAAGTATCAACAATAAAATAACAACCAAATAATGAGCTATAAAGCCGTAGCCAAGGAATATTTCTCAATTTTATATTAGAGAGGTGAATTCTCAACCTATAAAGAAAAAGATTAAACTCCACTATGTATTAAGGAGATAATTTTTTCTCAACTAAGTACCAAGAGTTTAATGTGATTCAAAGCATGAACTATTAAATTACAGCCAATAAAAGTGGATTCAACACAACAACCATATCAGCTTTGTATCTCAATTTGATTTTGAAGATTAATCTCATGTGCAATTAAAGAAAACTCTTAGCATAGTTTAGGGTAATAATTTTTTTCTTAAAGTTATAAAAAGGTAAATACTTTCATCACTTTTGTAATATTTGGTAAGAAAGCCTGCATTAGAATGATTGTTTGTTGGAATAATACATGCTTTTCATTTTCTCACTTTTTTTTTTTTTGTTTATTGAAAATTTTAAACCTATATGTACTAAATAATAATAATAAGACATGCTTGGATAGTTGAAAATAGTAAAAGGTAAAAATTAAATATTTGTAATTGATTAAATTTCTAATATGAAAGAATGAACGTTCTTATCAAATTATTGCCTCACCATTGAGTATTCTTATGGCATTAGGATTTTTCATATTTGGTAGAGTTACTCATGTCATTCGATAGTGCAAATGTCTCAATTCATATTTTACTTAATGCAATCGCTCATCCCTAATTGAGTCGCCAAAATGTAAAAAGGTTCCTTGTTGAAATGAGAAAACATTGCAAACAAGTAAAACAAGATGTGACAAGAGAAGGTGGATAGGAAACTTGGAGTAGGCCCTGAAATATTGAATATAACTACAGATGGTGGTAGGTGGTGAAGCAAGGCTAAGTAGAAAAGAAAATGAGATTGAAAAAAAGATTTAGGAAAAGAGAATTGCAGAGAAAACTGAGTAACTTTGTCAAAAGTCTCCTAAAAATCCCTAAATGAATTGTGGAAACTGCTATTTATAGGTTTCAAGAATATGAGTTACATATCTTAAGTATTGAATAATAATAATGATGAAATTGATAGTTATAAATGGTGTTAATGTATTAAATATGAATAATGGTGAATAATGAGAGAATTGACCGTTACAAAGGTGTTAATATATTATTTAATGAGAGTTTAATTAGCTTTTGGTAATAGGCATAATGAACATAAAAGTTCACTATCTATTCTGAAAGAAAAGGAGAAGCATTCATATTTCAAGAAAAAGTTAAGAAACCTTTTAATTATCTCCATATCTAATCTAGTATGCCAAACTCTTTGGAACATCCCAATAGTGAAATTAACCCAAAAACCCTGCTATATTTTAGGGTTATTTTCACTTTTTCTTTCGATAAAGTAACATTCGATGAAGCGTATTTTGTAGAATAACTCTTAGTGAAGCAACTTTTGGTGAAAGTGTTGTTGTTGTTCCTTGAGGAAATTGTTCCTAGAACCACTGTTCCGTGAAAGTGTTATTCCGTGAAAGAGTTACTTCTCGAAAAATTGCTCCATAAATAGTTGTTTTATGAAAGAATTGTTCCATGAATAGCTATTTCATAAAATAACCTTTACTAAAACAACCTTATCACTTGTTTTTACTTATCCTCAACTTTAACAACTTTAGAAAAATTTAAAAGAATAAAATATTAGTAACCAAAATCAAGTATTTACAGTCTACATTAGGTTATTTAAACTCGAGCTCATTTATCAATAACACCACCAAGAATGTGGAAAATAATTTGGTGACACAATCTAATAGAAAACAAAACAGCCAAGCTATTGTATAAAAGTTGAGCAATGAAGTTGAAGCAAGCTTAACCAAGGGTTTTCTTAGTGTGGGAGGTGAATCAAACTGGCCATTCTTGCATCAAAAGCTTGCCAAGTTTGCTTCAATGGTTCAACTCAGCCATGGTGTTGACATTTGAGAGTTGAGATGAAACTCAATTGAAAGTGCATAATTGAGTAACATTGTAATGCCTAGTACAAGGCAAGAGCTAGCTAGCTTTGTTGTAGCTAATGAAAGAAGACGAAAGGGAGTCTTGTGAATGGGAAAAGGGTAAGGCAGAATTGGACAGTGGCGGTGAACGAGATTGAAGAGAAAGAGACATAGCAACATAACAAAAAAAGTCATTTTTATCAGCATTTATAAATGCCAATAAAAGACTAAAAAAGATTACCATTGCCGGTAGTTTTTTTACTGCTACTTGACTACCAACTAAGTGAGTGTCGATGAAAACTTTTCGGTGGTCAAACCACCAGTGCCAAAGTTACACATATATTTGATGACATGACTTTTCTTGACACTTTAAACTGGCTTTATAAGTAAAAAACTATTAAAGGCATTTTAAAATCCCAGTAAAAGTCAAATTTTATTCAATTTTTTTATATTTATTAAACGAGCTATATTGACACTTAAAACTGCACTTAAAAGTCTTACTTTATTTTTAAAAAAAAATAATGTTCATATTCCAAAAAAAAAAAAAAGCCAATACTTATTATTAACATATTTCAATCCATGGCCATGAAGCTAAAATCAATCCCAAGATTTCCTTATTATATCACTGTTATTATAAAAACCAGGCATCAATAATTAAGAGAAGAACCAAGTGTTTCCAGAGAGCTGAAGATTTCTTGTAAATTTGAAAGTAAACATATTTTGCCTTTGAAAACCAATCAAGTTTTCTGCATTCCAAAGTTAGTTTATTTCAAAGTCTTTTGGAGAATTCACATAAGATCCATTAGTAAATCACCCCTAAATAATGTTTGTCATAACGTTTAGGTTGAGAAAACCTACCCATTAGACACATAAATCATAAAGTCGTCACCAATTTTTTTAACTATATGTGATTGCCATCTATGTAAGTTTATCTTTTTTAAAGTTATTCTAAACCTAAATTGAGGATCCATAAAAAGAATAAATTTTAATCTATATCAACAAAACTAAAGTTCAGAAGTCGATTACGTACAGAAAAAGTATTAGCACCCTTTTACGCCCAAAATTGGTACCAAGTTAATTATGTTTTACCTTACCTAAGCTTTATAAAATATGGTTTTATCATGTAAATAAATCAATTTCAATCCTTTTATTTATTTATAAAACATGGTAATACAAAAAATTTTATCAAAAATATCATGCAATCATGTAATAAATATTAAATCATACCATGCAAAAATTATGACACAAATATATTATAAATCATACCAAATATCATATAATAATATTATGCCTAGATCATACTAAAATATTCATGCCAGAATGTCACACAAATATATTAATTGTCATGCAATAATAATAATTATATAAATATATAATATCATACAAATATATTAATAATGCAATAATATAAAATACCATGCAAATATATTAATAACCATTCATGCAAATATATAATCATGAAATCAAATATCATCACACAAATATATTAGTACTGGTGTATAATCATGCAATTATGCACACAAATATAATTATGAAATCAAAAATAATCACAAAAATATATTAGTATTGGTGTATAATCATACAATTAAATATCATTCAAATATAATATTAATCATGCAATAACATATAATATCACATAATGCAATAAATATAAAATCATGCAATAATAATAATAAATATATAACCAATAAATAAATATAATAATAATCTACAATCACACAATAAATAAATTAATAATCATGCAATTAACAAAGTAAAATATGCAATTAACAAATAAATAAAATAATAATTATGCAATTACACATGCAATTAAAATATATAATCATGCAAATAATAATATTAATAATCATGCAAAATAAACATACAATTAATAATATCATGCAATCAAAATTATATAAACCCATGCAATTAAATATGCAATTAAATATACCATCATCAAAAAAATACATAAACCATGCAAATAAAAAATATATTAAACAAATAAAATTATCATGCAATATAATATTAGTATGCAAATTCATGCAAAAATAAAATACTATGCCAATAAAGATAAAAATAAAGTAATAATTAAATATTAAAAAGTTATCAAAATCACCACAATTGAAGCAAATACTTCCCTTATAGATTACGGGTTCATAACAATTGTTCACTTTCAAAAACTAATGCTTTTACTATAAATCTTAACCTTTCTTTCAAAAACTCCAATTGGATCCTTTTGTAAATTTTGTTTACATGATTGCTTCTTCATTGTTGATTCAAAACTTTCCCTTTCTCTTTTCTCAATGACCTCTATTTGACCTTGAAATCAATTACTTTAAAACCCCTTTTTTATTTTAGATTCAAGATCCTTATATAGGGATTGAACCCGTTTCACTTTGGAATAAATTAATTTAACCAAATCTAAGATTGCTCTCCAAATTTTATTCTCTGTTGAATTTTTCCTTTTTCAATATATTGAGCCTTAAATCTTTTCAAAATTATTCAACCATTAAAGTTAAAATCTAAGATAAAATCCCAAAGTGGATTTTCAATGCAAAATCCCACATTTTTTTCTTTTTTATTATTTTTTTTTTACCAATTGATTTTGACTCTTTTGACTTAAAAAAATTAAACCAAAAATTAAACTAAAAAATTAAAATACAAAAAAAAAATTAGGGCTTAATCTTTGAACCCAAATTTCACTTTTCTAATTAAGGCTCAATTGTACTATCAAAATTAAAATTCGAAACCCAATGAATTTCAAAATATTCAAAGACAAAATAAAGTGTCTACATTGTTTACAAAAAGAGATTGGTTATGATGACAAACTAATGTCTAGAAATTCTAGGGGTCTAGAAATTCTAAGGCTGACTTTGCCATTACAAAAGAAAACTCATTGAAGCTAATGACACTATTCTTGTACTTACTTGGGCACAAATATTGTGAAACATAGAACTTTTAGCATATACAAAACCATTTAACAAAAGTCCTCAAACACAACTACAAAATGGTTCACAACATTAGAGCATTCTAACTTGAAACAACCTAAATATTTTCATACCATCCCACTATTTTTTCTTCTTTTCCTCAACGACTGCAAAAACAAGACTTAGGAATGAGGTTGTCAATGTCATGATTTATAAGTATTAAAATCAACAAAATTCAATAGTAGTGTCATTTGTCAATGTCTACAAGCTGTTAAGAACATCAGATAACCATCAAAGGAAAATTGCAACTTAATACCAATCCTATTACAAATACCGAAACTATCAATACACCAAAAAGTTATCAAATTACCAATTATCACCAATAATACAGTAGTATCATCTTCAAAGTATAATAATGAACATCATTCTAATGCTATGAAATTACCAAAAAGTAATCAAAATACCAATGCAATGCAATAGCACGTAATGATCCTAATGAAAATGCACCTAAAACCTACAATATAATACAATTTCTGGATTAGTAAATAACTATTATTTACTAATTAATAATACTACTTATTGTTGTTACCTGTCTACTACCTATTGGTATAGCACTTGAGTTGATATCCATGCTTGGCAAATGACTTCCATTAAAAGTTTGTGCTTTCTCATTCCTTGCAAAGATCCAGATAGGCTAAGGGATAAAATCATTCAAAGTATTTCAAAGCCCTGGGTCAACAAGTAGCTGACTAGGATTTAAGATACCAAGGGTCCAGGGAAATAAGAATGGGTATGTGATCAAACTTGTACAAGCCAGGAAACAAACCAAAAGGCCATGCTAGTTTTGTTCCTTGGAAATCAAAACCACAGATAGAAGTGCTTTCATTGACAATAGAAATTAACAAGACAAGTTGCTAAAATAATGTTTGTTACATTCTAAGCACATCAACCTTCTAGAAAGTTTTGAAAACTACTTGAACAAAAAAAATTAAGCATTATATGTGTGAAAACTGAATGTCTATTGAAAAACTGCTTATTATGAATTATATAAGAATCTTAAGTTTATATACAACTAACTAGGGGTTAAACTAGAAAACTAAATCTTTCTTAATTCTAGAGATACAAATACTTAATTTTAGAGATACAAATATAAATATATAGATTACAAGATTACAAGATTACAACCAGCTGTAAATAAGTGTTTTCCCACACTCCCCCTCAAGCTGGTGAATAGGTGTTTTTCATTCCCAACTTGAAAATAATTCCTTGAAATGTTGCACTGCTGAGACTTTAGTCAACACATCTGCAAGTTGATCCTTAGTTGATACATAAGGTGTACAAATCAACCCACTGTCTAGTTTCTCCTTTATGAAATACCGGTCTACTTCAATGTGTTTTGTTCTGTCATGTTATACAGGATTGTGTGCAATGTTTATTGCAGACTTGTTATCACAGTAGAGTTTCATTGGTCCATCCCACTTGATCTTCAAGTCTTTTAAGATAATCTTTAATCATAGTAGTTCACAAATTCCTTGAGCCATTGCTCTGAACTCTGCTTCAGCACTTGATCTTGTCACCACATTCTGTTTTTTACTCCTTCAAGTCACAAGATTACCACCTAAGAAAGTACAATAGCCTGAGGTGGATCTTCTATCAGTTACTGAACCTGCATAATCAGCATCCTGTATATGCTTCTAGAACTAACCCTGAATTTTTTTTGAATAAAATACCTCTCAGGATTGGCCTTCAAATAGTGCAATATACGGTAGACAGCCTGTAAGTGCACTTCTTTAGGACTATGCATAAATTGACTTACCACACTCACAGCATATGCTATATCAGGTCTAGTATGTGAGAGATAAATAAGTCTTTCAACTAATCTTTGGTACATCTCCCTATTTATAGCAGCATCTTCATTAGCTTCTTCAATTTTATGATTAGGATCTATAAAGGTATTTGCAGGTTTACATGCAAGCTTTTCAGTTTCCTTCAGAAGACCCATCACATATTTCTGTTATGAGATAAAAATACTATGCGGTGAGTGAGCTACTTCAATTCCTAAGAAGTACTTCAATCTCTCTAGCTCTTTTATTTCAAATTCTCTAGCCAAACACTGTTTTAGAGATTCTCTCTCTTTTTCATCATCTCCAGTTACAATTATATCATCAACATACACCAATAAAACTGTGATTCTCCCTGAATCAAAGTGCTTGATAAACAATGTATGATCTCCTTGACTCTGTTTATATCCCATTGCTAGCATCATTTTGGCAAATCTCCCGAACCAAGCTCTAGGATACTGTTTAAGGCCATATAAAACCTTTTTCAATCTGCATACTTTGTTTGCTTCTAGATGACCTCCAAATCCCAGTGGAACCTTCATATATATTTCTTCTTCTAAATCCCCATGTAGAAAAGCATTCTTTACATCAAATTGTTGAAGCTGCCAATTGTAATTTGCAGCCAATGATAACAAAATCCTAACTGTATTCATCTTAACAACTGGAGCAAAGGTTTCCTAGTAATCCCCATGTAGAAAAGCATTCTTTACATCAAATTGTTGAAGCTGCCAATTGTAATTTGCAGCCAATGATAACAAAATCCTAACTGTATTCATCTTAACAACTGGAGCAAAGGTTTCCTAGTAATCCACTCCATAGGTTTGAGTATAACCCTTAGCCATTAACCTGGCTTTATACCTTTCAACAGTACCATCTGCCTTGTATTTTATAGTGAAAACCCATTTACACCCCATTGAATTTTTTCCTTAAGGCAACTCTACCAGTTCCCATATGTGATTTTTCTCTAAGGCCTCCATTTCTATTTTCATGGCTTGCCTCCATTTCTCATTGAATAATGCCTTGGATAATGTAGTTGGAACAGAAATAGTGTTTAGGCTCACAAGAAAATTTTTGTGGGATGGTGAGAATTTTTCAAATGACACAAAATTAGATATTGGGTATAGTAGATGCTTGGTACATTCTCTGGTTCCTTTCCTAATGGCAATAGGCAAATCATAATCACTAGTTATAGTTTTAGGAGATTCATACTCATTTTGAGAAACAGAGTCAAAAACTATAGTTTCCTCATTTCCAGAGTTAGGATCAGGTTCTTGGATTGGCACTGGTTTAGGATCTGAAACTTTCCTTCTTGAGTACACCTGTAATTCCTTCATAGAATCAAAAATAATATTATCCTTTGTCACATCTTCCGTATTTGGAATGGGTTTAGACTCAAATTCAGTGTTTGACTTGGGCTCAGCAGAAACAGGTTTCGACTCAGAAGAATTAATGGGTGTAAATGTTGAAGAGGGGAACAAATCAAGCAAAAAAAAGTCTTTATCCTTATCTTCCATGAATGAAGTCTCCCCCTGAAGATAAGGTTGAGTAAAAAATGATTTATTTTCTTCAAAAGTGACATCTGCAGACACATAAAATTTTTTGGTAGAAGGATGATAGCACTTATATCCTTTTTGAGTTGAAGAATACCTCACAAAAATACACTTAATCGTTCTTGGATCCAACTTTCCCCTGTTATGACTGTGAACATAAACAAATGATGTACAACCAAATATCCTAGGTGTGAGATTGTTTGTAGTATTGAGGTTGAGATAAAATTGTGAGAGTAGTTCCATAGGGGTTTTAAATCCCAAAACTCTTGAAGGCAACCTATTTATAATGTGTGTGATAGTGAGAACAGCTTCCCCCTAACAAGATTTAAATACATTTGCTTGAAAAAGAAAAGCTCGGATTATGGCTAGTAAATGACTATTTTTTCTCTCTGCCACTCCATTCTGCTGTGGAGTATTAACACAAGATGACTCATGGATAATCCTCTATTTTTGAAAATAAGTGGATAGACTCTAATTGAAGTAGTCTCTTGCATTATCAGACCTAAATATCTTGATTTTCACTCCAAATTGATTTTGGATCATGTTTTGGAAGCTTAAAAACACATTATTCACATCTAATTTAGATTTAAGTAAAAAAACCCAAGAGACCCTAGTACAATCATCTATGAATGAAACAAACCATCTCGCACAAAAAATATTAAAAATTGTAGAGGGACCCCAAATGTCACTATGAATCAAGTAAAAGGGAGTAAAACTTCTTTTGTTACTGATTGAAAAAGACACACGTCTATGTTTTGCAAATTCACAAATATCACAATGAAAATCTTCAACATTTAATCCTTTGAACAAAGAAAGAAACATGTTTCTCAATGTTCCAAAAGAAGGATGTCCAAGACGAAAATGATAAAGCCAAATTTTATCTTTATTGGAAGATTTTTCAAAAAAAAATGACAAAAGTAAACTATTTTTTATACTACTTGTGTTATTTGATGTCTCAAGATAATATTGTCTATCCTTCTCCTTAGCAAATCCAATCATCTTCCCCGAACTTTGGTCCTAAAATTCACAATAAGAGGGATAAAAAATTACTTTGCAATTCATATCTCTGGTAAGTTTTGTATAGATATCGGATTAATAGATAATCCAGGAACATGAAGAACATTTTTAAGAACAAACGAGGGATTAACTTGAACATCTCTTAATCCTGCCACTGTGGTAAGTGAACCATCAGCAACAACAATTTTTTTATTACTAGGACACAGGTTTTATGTGCTAAACTTTTTTAAGGAATGTGTCATGTGGTCTGTGGCTCCTGAGTGAATGACCCAAGAACTCGTAATAGGCTTAGCTGAGATATTTAATCCATGAGAACCGGAAGCTTTACCTGAACTAGAAACTTTTCCCAAAGAACATACCATAGTAGGCTTTTCAAGGATTTTCAATAAGTTTCTCAGCTTTTCAATCTCTTTCCTGTTGAACTTTCCTTGTTTCTGAGACATTTGTAGTACTCTAGTGATTTTTTCAGTTAACATTTTCTCAAATTGGGTGGTAGTGATATCTTTCTTTGAAAGGGTTCGACAATGAAAGCCTAAAAAAGTCAACAATGAAGGCTGAAAATTTTGCTTCCTAAGAAGAGCCTAAAGCTCTGATACCATGTGAAAACTGAATGTATATTGAAAAACTGCTTATTATGAATTATACAAGAATCTTAGGTTTATATACAACTAACTAGGGGTTAAACTAGGAAACTAAATCTTCCTTAATTCTAGGGATACAAATACTTAATTCTAGAAATACAAATATAAATATACAGATTACAAGATTACAACCAGCTGTAAATAAGTGTTTTCCCACAATATGATTTGTAAAGAAGCTCAGATATTGTATTTGCAAAGAAGTGATTCTACTTGGATATTCTAGGATATGATGGAAAAAGATGCACTAAAATCAATGAAGTATTATGAGGTTGGGATGAAAGACTTACAAGCACATAAGGATCCCAAGAAGGATTCTTGGAATCTGAAGCCATTCTAGATGATGGCCTGAGAAAACTTTCACAGACTTCTCGCACACAAGACTCATCTGCTTCTCTGCAAACACAAATATGTATAGTTTGTCAATTATTTATTTTTATACTTGCATCCTAATAAGCAAGAGAGAACATTTTTCTGCAAAAATACATAGATTCCAATTTCTATTACATTGTACTGAATACAAGCTTTGCACCACTAGTAACAAAAAAGTATAAGCCTGTACACCAAGGAAGCTACACGATAAATGCATTTGGTAGGGGAGAAAAACAAACCTTGCTAGGAAACGTATGTAGGAAAGAAGGCTCCGGTGACATTCATTAGAGGATTTCAAAGCCAAAGACAATACCAACTAAGCTTCTAAATGAGCACGTGTCTGCACTCCATCATCAGTTACCTTGTGGCAAAACATGATGATAGGTGAAATTCTAGGATCAACACAATAAAAAGAGCTTCTTAAAATAATTAAAAACTGGGATTTATTCAGAATTATTTCTTTAGCAGCTACCGTGTCAAAAGGAACTTTAGTAAGGGAAGAGTATAATTGAAATTCATGCCACCCACTGATATAAGATGTCAAACAAATACTCGTACCAAATATCTGATATAGCTTCAGGATTTTAGGGCAAAAGAGTGTTAGCAACAAACCTATTCCAGCTGGGCTTTCTGGCCAAATATTTCCTAACATCCACCTACAGTGCAGCTAACTCACCAGCCTGAATTGAACCCAAATTCCAAGAACTAGAAAATTTTGACGTAGGGAAGCAATCATCTACAACCCTAAGCCAACACATGAGACTCATGTCAAAGAGAAATGCATACTGAGTAGCCAAAACAACAAGAGGAAAACCAGATTTTGATAACTTAGCAGATATAACTTTGATTGTGCTTAAAAATAGTTATAAAAATGTTAGAAATATGTGTAACATCCCACATGAACAAGACATTATGAGTTGTCAACCAAGTACTACGAAATAATAAGTTTTCTAGGATCATATGAAGGTTCAAATTATATCGAATACATATACCTTGCGGAGACGAGCTAAGGTCCAAAGTGATTAGAGACGCTAATGAATCATGGAGGAGACAGTTCCTATTGAAGAGATCCCATAAATACAAAGATCCTTTCCTTGTGACCAATAATAATTTCCAGCTCTCGTCACAATCTATAAAGGTTGCTGCAGATCCCATTGTAATGGTACACTAAATCAACATGTATGACAAAGTAAACTAGGAAGATCTCCAAGAAGCACAAATGACAACTACAAAAATTTCAAAGCAGGCTGAAGATCAATTAACCGTAAACACATTCTGGTTTATCATCTCATTACCCACTAGTGCATGTGCCATAATGCTCACAGTTGAATTGGGAATCTTCTAATAATAATACTAATAAAAGACAACAGTGACAGAATGAGATTATTTTTCTTAGCCGTGAGCTCTTTTTTATGCATGATCATCATGCTTTTAGCTTAAGGGAACTAGCTGTAAGGAAATGATTATATTATCTTATTATGTGACAGTCACTGAAATTGAAACTATTAAGAGGTTGCAAAATTTCACTTTCCAGAAGTAGAAGGAAATTTGAGCATATATGGCTCGTGCTACTGCATCCAATCAACTCAAAATAACATATCCTGGATCAAATTCACTTCTGTTCAAACTTCAAAAATATCATCACCACCAAAAATGTCAATGCCAGAGGCAGCCATAGAAAGCATTTGTAATAAATAAAAACCAGAATTTGTAATGAATAAATACCTAAATCTGTAATAAATAAAAACCAGAATTTGTAATGAATGAATACCTGAAAGATGAATGTACGAAAAGAGATACACTAGGGTTAGGCATATAACAACAGCAATAAAAATGGAAAGTAACACACTTGCTAGCAGCAGTGGTTTTTTATGATCTCTAAAACAGGGATAAAATCTAAATTAAAAACCTAAACCAAGAAGTTTTTCCAGAACATCAAAATATCCACTTAAACAGACCATGCTATGCCAATCTAGCATATAGCACAAAGAGATGTCCTAGTGGCATCTAATCTACGCACTAGAAAAGATAACAAAAAGTCCTAAAAGCAAAATATCAGATCATATCTCCCCCTATACCACTTCTAAATTATTAAGGTATTCAGGATTTTGGATTTTTTTGTGTAAGTAGTAAGTTCTTCCTACTTAATACTCTAACCGCTGTTGTAAGCTTCTGAATTCTTACCATAAACTGTATACAGTAGATATTCTACAACAGAATATCTTACCAGAGGTTACCTTAGTAATGACTAGTCTTATGGGAGGGGTCACTTTGGAAGAGGCCTTTTGCACTACGAAGAAAACCTGCACAAAAAAGAAAAGCATGTTAGAAGGAATACATATATAACAGATAAAGTGAAGAGGAAAGCAGCAAATTTTAGACTTACCCTATTTAACTCATCCAAGAAATCTTTAATTACAAGAAAACAAATCATAGTAGATTCAACCTTCTTCCTATTTGATTCCACACTCATATATACAAATCTCTTGGTATTGCATTCAATACAATTTCCAATTCTCATACCAAGGATCTTGTACATAAAATACTTGTTTTGCTTGGGAGGCAAATACAAGAGCTTCATCTTTTATATCCTTGCCCATATGAATTAAATTTGAGAAATTCACAAGGGTAAATCCATATTGATCCTTCTTAATGCCCTTGCCTTCAATAAGGCTAACCATATTACATCCAAACAATAAACCATCAATCTATTAAAGTAATTAAGTTCTATTAAGTTCTATCAAAGTAAGTAATCACATCTTAAATGCTTAAAATGATATTAGCACACAATCTAAAAGTTGTTCCTTAATTACATAATTTGTTTCATATAACAATTATTTTCATGTATATATGAATTCCAACATTATAAGAGAATATTGCTCTTCGAAACTTTTTTAAAATTCAATTTTCATCCATAATTTTTAAAAAATATGTCAAGTTTATTCATCCCCATCAATCACATTTAAAAATTTAATGAAATATACCATGTCAATGCCACATAGACCAAAATAAGAATCTCTTCATATGCATAGGAGTAAGTGCTATTTTTTATGTGTAAGTATTCTATTTAATAATTTTGATGGTTAAATTTCTACAGTTTGAAAAAAATTTTGGACCTCTATGTAGTTCATGTAGATGAAGAAGCTATTGTTTGCAACAGTGTCATTGAAGCAAAGGTTTGTCAAATTCTTTTTGTTCTTTTTCAAATTTGCACAATCATCGAAGAATGAAATTAATTTGTCCAAAAGTTGTTTAACATAAATAAGAACTTGAAAATCAGAATGAATGATTACAACAAAATTTTTTCTCTCGAAGGGTCTAGTTTTTAGTAAGTCGATAGAAAAAACTTTATTAGTCTTAATCTAGTTGAGTGACACATTGTTTCAATGATAATTATCGTGTACCTGTGTTTGTTTTTAACTCTCAAGTAGTCTTAGTATACTGCCCTTAGCTGAACCCAGATAGAAGCTTTTGGGTTTGGTGCAGTCATGGCAATGGCAATTCTCATTCTCACAGAACCCTCATCATTCAAATCTAATGAGAGTTCGAGTTGCAGTCACCTTTAACATTCTTTTGCCAAACTATAACAATCATTTCTGATTAATTCTTTCTTAGGCATTCTAAATTTCAGTCATGGAATTATGGTGAAATCAAAAGCAAACCTTGGTAGTAAGTCTAGATCATATAATAGTAATCGAAAGTAAACAGTATGCTGCCATTAAAGATCAGGGCTGTTCATACCTATTAGCTTTAAGAGGTAAGTGGTAGAGTTCAATCAACCATTGATCCCACTCAACTTCTGAAATTGTATATTATATATAATTAGCATAAACAATTAGTGTTTTTCCTATATAATTAGTATATTGACACCACTAAAATTTATTAAAATTTTTTAAGAGGTCAAAAAATAAATTTTATCTTTACTTTTACATTCATTTTAATTTGAAAATTCTAAGAATTTTTTTCACTACAAGTATAAGTTTAATTTATGATTTTGAAAATATATATTTATTTGAAAGTCTTATCATATTTTGAGATATTTTCTTCTATATTTAATTTTATCAATATTGTTTTTAAATAATAAATAATATAAATAAAAAATATAATACTATTATTTTAATTCCAATAATACCATTTCTTAAATACACCCCTGAGATGATACTGTTCATTACATATAATGATGACATTGTAAGGGTACAGATTTTCTCCTCAATTTTTTAAGATGAATGAAAATATAGATCAGCCTTTAAAATCTTATTTTGTGGCATTCCCGGTATCTCTATATGAAATTGTAGGATATTAAACTTAGATTAAGTTTTCATGAATCTAGCTATCTATGAAGCTAGCTATAGCTATTCATGAATATGTGTTATGAATGAATTTAGTTAATGATACATAAATGTGCTTAATTGAATGTTCCTAATTTAGTTAATCAAATTTATCCACAAAAAGCTAAACAACAAGGTTAACTCCAAAATTTTAAAGATACCTTGTCCTTGTCTATTTCTGCACTAACAGATAAAAAATTGACGAACTACAGAGGAGGAACTACTTCTGCACAACAATTGAGCAAAAAAATAATAGATTTTAAAAAAAATTAAAGAAAGATTCATTAGATTTGGAAAATAATAGATGAAAATCGAAGAAATGCAGAGGAAATCGTGTATACCTAGCTACAAGCAGAGGAAATCGAAATTTCAGCGAGGAAATCAAAGTTTGCTGCAGAGAGAATCGATCGAAGAGAGATCGAAGGTATATTAGGTGAGAATGAGAGTGAGAGAGATCGAGGTAGTAATCGAAGAGAGATTGAAGAATTGTATCTGGTGAGAGTGACAATGCGAGAGATCGAGTATTGAGAGTGAGAGTCGAGAGATTTCCAAAAAAATTAAAGTGAAACTATAAAATAAGATTTCCAAAAAAAAAAAGTGAAAATAAGAAATGAGATTTTTTTTTTAAAAAAAAAAGGAAAGTTATTAAGTCAGGCAAAAGTAAGCAAAGAGCGTTTTATTAGTGAACCCTAATGTTTTATTAAGTGAGAGAAAGAAGATTATTATGTGCGGGTTAGAAGTAGCCTAAAAAAATAATCTATTAAAGATAATTTTATTAAATTAGTAAAATAAAAACAATAAATTATTAACATTTTTATGAACTCTCAAAATTTTAGTGTCATTAAAAATAAGAATTTTTGTAGTGCAGTGTTTGAGCCCTCGTGCACATAGATTTTTCAACTTTTTTTTATTAAAAAGTAGTAATAAGTATAGTTTTAGTATTAATATTTTTTTTTAAAAAAAGTAAATAGTACGAATGATTCTTAAATTTTGAATTAAATTTGACTATTATTTTTATTTTTTTTTTGTGTATAATAATACTTTTAATTAATATAGAATAAAGTGGGATAAAACATTTTTGTTAATTCCACAAAATTGTATTTTCTCTATTTCAAAATTATTGTTTCTTATTGACTTTTTTTTTTGTCAATTAACTCAATTTTGACCATTATTTTAATAAAATATAAATCTTAAAAATAAATTTTGTAAACTTTGAGTTTAAAATTTTTTTAAAACATATATTTTTTAAAATTTTAATTTAATTAATATGTTAAAAAAATAAGGTCAAAGTAAAATTACTTTAATAAAAAAATCAATAAAAGACAATTATTTTGAGTTAGAAAAAGAAAATTTTTATTATTAAACTGTGAGGATTTCCCATCATACTATGTAAACCGTAATGATTCTGCAGATTATCTCATGAAAATTATCCCAATACTTAACCTCACATCATTAATAACCAAATTTTTACTTTTTTATTGAATGAAATAATGAATTAAATTTTACATTTGAGTGTATAATTTATACAATATCAACGAATAATAAATTGTCATCCCATCAAAAGACATAATAATTTCTTTTTCTTTTAAAATATAAATAAAAATTTAAAAGAAAAAAATGAAATTAAGAACACAAAAGAAAAAAGAAACCTCAAAATTCAATCTTGATAGCAATTGACTCTCATCACATATATACTGGCATGATACAAATAGGATAGAACAGAAATCTAAATATAATTATTGAAAAAGGAAATAATAATAATAACAATAATAATAATAAACACTCACCATCTTCCTCACCACCATCCAATCCAAAATCATAGCTAGATTAAATGGAGCCCCCAACCCAATTCCCATCAAAATTACATTTTTTTTTTCTAATGGTCACAAAGAAAGTGTAATAACGATAGCACTGATTCCAAACAAAACTACATTTTGCATGGTGATCAGGCTCACAGCTTTGGAGTTTTCAGTTGGGGTGTTATCATCAGGGCTATCAGCAACGGCAG